CTAGTAGTAAGGCCAGGAGCCCCTAGTAGCGTCCTTGCTCCTAGTAGCAAGGCCAGGAGCCCCATAGTAGCTTCTTGTTACTAGTAGCGCCGCTGCCCATGACAGATTTGCCCCAAGGTTGCTTACTCTACTTCCGGGTGCTAACGGCGATGGCAGATGCACAGGGAATCCTCGAAGAAGAGGACACCAAATTTTAAGGCTCGAAACATATCGTGACACACATATCATAAAGTGTTCATGAAGAAAGGCCTCGAGGAGAGATAGCTTACTGACTGCAACAAGCACAGATTGTCTTTTTAAGCAGGCAGCTGTATAGCCATCCCATATGTTGGCTGCAGGGTCTGTTTTATTGCATATTTGAGCGATCATGTTTTGTGATGGAGGGTCAACTTGTTCAGGACACGGTGTTCCTCCCACGGCGCTCTTTGCTCATGATTTCTGGCGGAAGTCCTAAGTCCATGAGACCAGCTCAAGCGCAAATTTATATAAACAAGGTTTAGGTTGCCAGGCCTTTTGGTTGGGGTGCGCAGAGAAGCCTTTGTTGTCCGGTATAAACAGCAAAGACTAGTTGAAACACGGGAAACAGATGCAGTATCCTCAACTTGGGTCTCTCAAATTGCAAGACTCACCCACACACACACACACTCGCACACACGCACACTCGGGATAATGCGTACGGAATTGAATGCAGTTTGCCACCCGCCAACCCAAGTAAAAGCCTAAGAAACCAGGAGGATGTACAAGTAAGTAAGGCGGTCTGATGACAAGCGAGTCTCAAATCCTCAAAAAAGTTCAAGGCATCCAACGATTTCCAATTTCGAGTAGTCGAGAGGCTCGGTCGACGAAAGCGTGACTGGAGAACTCATCAGCACTTTACTGCAAACCGAAGCCAAGAGAAGGTTTTGTTCCAGTTACTAGTTACAAGCAAGGTCTCACAGGGAATGGAAGTCAAAACTGATGCGGGTACGCCGGAGTGATCAATTCCGGTATCCACCATCACGCATATCTTCGTTGGCATGCGTTTGCGTGATGGCCGCATTGCCCCTGCATATAACAATACTCAAAGACCAAAGGCCTGCTCCGGATCCAAGGGTTTCACTCACACACACACAGGTGGTCGCAGGATGACATATCCACAAAGGACCAAAATTGAAAAGGACAGTCACACTTTTGAGGAACCTGACAGCCACTGCAATGGGTTTCGCATCAAGAGCCGCTCGGAAGGACTTGATTCAGATCGTGTTTCTCCACAGCCGCTTGCAGTCTTTGCTCTATGAGGTGCCAGTTCTCTTTTTTGTTTAATTCCATTGAACTCTCAGCGATTTGTAGCTTTACTTAGACAGCATGAGCCTCTTGATTCAATAGAATCGAATGGTTCATGCTACTGCAAACCCACTGCCACAATTCCACCCCAGTCCAACTCAAATGTGCTCCACGTGATTCCACGTGTCTCACAGCGCTCCTTCGGGATGATTTTTCCATTCAAAACGCTCTAGGAGACGTGACTTGGACAGCAGCCGAGAATTTGTTGTGGACGAACTCTGCAGGAAGAGATGGAAGTGGTGGACCAATACGTCGGGAGCTGAGCCGCACAGTTGAGTTTTTGGGAGTTGACTCTTAGAAAGATGCTTTGGGACGAAACAGGGATGGGTAGAACACAATAATGCGAACATCGTTTTGGCCGCTAACTACTTTCCTTTTTCCTGTCTCTCTCTATTTTTCTGGAGTACCTGCCGCCGCATGTCAGTCTGTTAGGCATCGGTATTTTTGTTGAGCGTGACACTTTCACAGACCAATGGGCAGGGATCAGATGTTCAGCTGTGTGTGGTCACTCCAATTATTTTGTTTTTAACATGTTCAGGGAAGTTTGTCGAGAAAGGTGACAAACGAGTTCATATGTCTTCGAAAGTCGCACCGCCGGTGCTGCATTACTGCGTGCTAGCAGCCCACCCGAATCCACATGCCTTCCAGAATCCTTGAGACCTTCCACAGGGTCGCTAGTTTTTACTTCTGATGTAATCCTTTGTGTGCATTTCTAAGAATTCAACCTTTTAAACCTCAATTTTATGTTGTCTCTACAAGTTGACCGGCGGGACCGTGCTGATCGAATCGTTCGTGGCAGTTGTGCATCACCCGTGAGACGGACAAGGGCCGGCTGCTGAGAGGGAAACAAAGGTTTGTACAAAGGTTGTCGTGTGTCCCCAGGATTCTTTGATATTTTTGGTCTCCCGGGATTCTGTATCCCAGAAAAACACGGAGCAACAGAAAAAAGGACATAGACAAGGTAAACTGACCTAACCACATACAATAACCATGTCGATGAGGCTTTGGCTCTTGTCCCCATGTGTCTTCTCCACGTATCCCTCCTTCTCTGTGCCTGTCCCAAAACAGGGTCACGCGGGACCCGGTTCCACCAGCTGCGGGGGTGTCACACAGCTTGGAGCAGCGAACAGTGCAGTGCTTCACCCCGTAGTTGGAAAGAAGGTAGTTGGAGTATGACATGTAAATGCATATGTATGAATATGCAATACTTCTGTACATGATATTGACAACATGGGACAATGACACGAGGACACCCCCTCACCATTTTGTAGTTTTGCCTGTCTCGCAAGAGAATCGAAGACTGGCCCCATGTGGGGCCTAGTTGCTGAAATCGTTCAGGTGAAGCCGAGTACCGGGCTGAGGCGGCTCGGCTGTGGACTCTGCGGGGACGGAGGGTTTTCTCCTCCCCATCCCAAGATGCCTGATTCCGCTGATGCATGAAGCTGGGTGGGCTATGGCTTGATGAACTAGATTAATATAGCCGGCTTGCAGTTTTTGCAGTGGAGTTTGTAGCGCTTCTTTGGATCTCTTACTTAGCTGTAGATTCTTTGCAATCACAATTCAAACATAGGATCTGAGGTGAAGAGAATTGTGGCGAGTTTAGATCCAGCCAGGTGGGACGTTTCCGTATCGCACGACAGAAAGCCGGGTTGCTGTCCGGGAGCCCAGCAAGATGGCATGCAGTCCATTTTGGGCGAATGACACCTCAAAGACAGGCATATTGACAAAAACATATATATATATATACATATACACATATGCAATCAAACATATATCCACTTTTGTGTTTTTTTGTGGATCGGAGGGAAGTTTCCCTTTGCAATGTGTATATATATATATATTGTGGCATGCTTTTGCATTCTGCTCAAGAGCAAGCATAGACATAGACATGCTTGTGCATTGGTTGGGGGGTCTCGTCAGTCTCACAACGGTCCACGGCCCTCAGATCGTTCCTCCGTTCGAGGATTCGGCCCCGACACGCCGGGGACAACTCGGAGGAGGCCAAATGGTCTCACTGAAGGGACTTTGGAGTAGACCGTTTTCAACTTTTAGCAGAGACTGAAGGGACTTTGGAGTGCTTGACTTCAGAAAGATTGTTTTACAGAACCAACCAGCAGCACTTTAGGACAACTGGCAATCATGTACGTTTTGAGGATTCACAGAAAGTGTCATCAAGATTTGTGTAGCCGTTTAAAAGCTTTGAATCGACCAGCAAAGCGTTTGGTCTTGAGCTTGAAGAATGACACGTCTCCACGCCAAAGCTGAAATGCAACCTTTTGAACGTTCCGAAAATGGTGACTATTGGACAAGGCTGCCCCAAGGCACCTTTGGGGGTGTGCCACTAGTTTGTTGTAGAAACCCAGAAAAAAGCAGCACGCCGCCTGGCACTGGTGTCTGCCTGCAGAGACCTTTAGCCATGATGTGTCACACATGTTTGACTTCGACTTTGCAGAGTTGGAGGAAGAGGACAGTCCCAGAGAGAAGTTCTTCCCTGGTCACTCTACTTGATTTGTCGACGAAGAATCCCCGGAAAGTGGAAATCGGCTACCGTACCAGAGTCCAAAGACAAAGTTCATGGAATTTTGTCTATATAAAGGATGCGCAGTAACATCCAGTTCCATTCTTTCAGCAGCTCCAGCCGAACCATCATGACCCACAAATGGTTGGTCAAGTGAATCAAGTGAACCACCCCTCAAAAAACGAAATGTTGTGGATGTCAAACAACAGACAATGCCCGTTTTCCGCCGACTCGCTTGAAGCCGAGGCGAAGTGCTCCGGGCCTGCAGCCCTGTGATGATGCGGGAGGAAGCGACGCTTGGCCATTGTGGCACCTTAAGAGTATGTTTATAGTCATAGAATCGTTCTAAGTAGTGGAGGAGAGAATCTAGTGTAACAAGTTTGTGTTTTTTTTGTTTTTGTTTCAGTAGGGCTCAATGGGGTTCACTTCGAGAGTGGAAAGACACAAGGTGTTTTGTAGAGAGGCCGGGGAGCTCAATCATGTCATTTTGGGCTTGTTGATCACTTGCTTCCCGGTATATGTAGATGCCACAACTAGTCCAAGTGGCAAAGAGATAGACGTATTTCGCAGGTAGTTGGAGGTATTGCTTATTTATGTAGGCGTGGCACCATATTTGGTGCGATGGTGCAGATAGGTTCACGTAAGACAGCTTGTGATTTCTCGCATGTGAGGAGCGCACCTTCTTTCACTCCACCATTCTTTTTCGGAGCGCACCAAGGAGTCTGGAGAGCAAGGTGATATCGACGTCTCTTTGGCTGCAGCTGTGCACAGGTCGAGAAGTGTGATCCACACGGGTACAGTAATACCTTAAGCATTTCAATAGCGCAGAGCAGAGCTTTCCACACAAAGTACTTTTAAACTTTTACCAAACAGTGTCCATACTTTGAGAGAGTCTGTCTTTAGGGTCTCTGCAAGAATATGGAGGGGGCTGTATTCGATACTTTTGGAACGGCCCCTGGTATCCGGGATCAGACACTGCTTACCTGAAGGGTTCACCTATAGCTCAAAATATGCAACATTTGTTTGCAAGACCGACCCTATCGCAAGACCCACAATGCCAGTCACCAGGAGAAAACTGCGAATGCACCTGAACAGTCACTAGAGTGCTCACGTATGCTTGCGGTCCCGGAATATCCTTACGTGAAGTGGAATGGCAGTAGGCACATGGCTTTTTCATCATGAATGGTTGAGCCGTGAGATGATATGAATGTATGGGCATCAAGCCCCTTGCAGCGAGCTTGCTTTTACTTGACACGGAAGCTTTCTTTTTCGTTAGTCACGGGTGGATGTTGGTTTGGTCCTCCAACCTGTTTCATTCTGAGCCTGATTCGACCATCTTGAGCGTGATTCGGCCGTCCTTTGTCAACTTGCAAATTCTGTTGGAAGAACAGCTTCACAAGATCCAAACCATCCTAGGTACATCAAAATTTGACGAAGCCTGAATTGTGTAGACCGCCCATTGTACTGGTTTGCATTGATAATTATTTCAACCTACTGTTCCATAGCAATCCTTTTTGGCCAGTACAGCAATGAATCAATTCCGTGTGCATTTGAATCCTCTTGCAGGCTAGCTGCAGGCACCCTGGTGGAGGTGCTCTTGAGCTGCGGGTCTCGGCGGCTGCTGGTGAGTGGCGACGGCAAGGAGGGCTGGGTGAGCGCTGAGGCGTTGGTGGCTCGGCGGAGTGTCGCAGACGAAGGAGTGCTTTTTGGGCTCCTACCCGTTCTTTTACTTGCTGCCAACGGGGACTGGTAGGATGGGCTGGAGTTTACAGCGGTTTAGGAAGGATACTGTTTATGGCAAGACATCTCTCCTACGCCCGGCTTTGTTGAATCAACAGGGGAGCTTTCATCACCTTTTCGATCGGCCATGAAGAGAGGCCCCTTCATGGATACACCAAGACAAAGTTGCTCAGTAGCCAAGCAAAGTAACGGGTTTCCAATCGCCTGTGTACCGTTTTTGGAGGCTACAGAACCTCCTTGAATCTGGCCTTTGATCAAAGAGGGCAGGCCTGATTCTTTTGCGATTTCACCTGTTAGCGTTCACATAGCAAGCATGCAACCTGGGTGATTCACGAGCCTTTTCTATTTATCCATGTCAAGTTTAGCCATTCAGCATCATTTCAACTCCAATGAGCAGGCATTGAATATGTCAAGATACCATCATGAGATGTGGAATGGCCGCTTGCACATTGAGGATGGCACCATTCTATGGGAAAGAGCTGGCAAAGTACAAGATGGAAACATCACCCCAGATGTAGACATCAGGCAACGCTGACTGGTGCATCCGACTGACTTTGGACTTGTTGACATGAGTTGTTTTCGTTGGTCGATGTGATTTTGTGAGAAATATGTCTGACTAATCTCCTCCGCTTGGCTGGGTTTCACCAAGTTGGGAAGACAGTTCCACCTCCGGCAATGCTGTTCAATCTCCCTGATTTGTCATTGTCCTGCGCACATTGCACTCCAAAGTCAAAGCGGACCATCTTAAATGCCACCCAAACACCCGCGCAGAGCGAAAGGTGATTCCGGACATATTCGAACTCTGGGTGCTTGGACTTGCCAACCGAAACCGCTGTTGGCAGGCTGTTCAGACTCAGGGACTCTGCACAAGGGAAAAGACTTTGGTTCGAGTTCCGGAGACCTCCGGGGTTTCCGTTGCGTCCGCTCAGTTTTTCAGCTAACCCTGGGCTTCCGTTCTGGTGTTCATGGCGCGTTTGTTTGCAAGATGGAAGCCACTCGAATTGGAGCCTGAAGGTAATAGAATCTAAGACTTGATGGACTACTTCCAACGTGACCTTGCCTGCATGTGCTTCTTCTTTCGGCTATATGAGATTTCCTTCTTTCTTTCTTTCCTTCCTTTCTTTCTGTCTGTCTGTCTGTCTGTCTGTCTGTCTGTGGTGTGGTATTTTCATCTCAAGAGACTCGGATTGCTTTAAACTTGGATCCAAGCCCATTTTGGTGCCCAGGCGCTTCCGTGAAGCAGACCGGCCTTGGCTGAGGCCGATGGATTCGCCCCACCAGACCGCCTTTGTGTTTGTGCTTGTAAAGCTGCTTGAGGAACTTTCCACCCGAACTTACGTGATCCATTTCCACCCAAAGAAGATGTTCTTGCAACTTTTTGGAAGTGGATATTTTGTGACCATCTCTCATTCGCCACACAAAGCGCACTTCACAAGATGTATTTATTTTTGATTGACAGCGCACCTGGACAGGATTATCGAGAAGCAAGCCTTCGGTGGTACAGAGCAGTGCTTGGCTCCTTCGTTGTGTTTGCGGGTTTCGGAGGCAACCCAAGCGTGGACTCTTGGGACCTGAACAGGCCACTGTTTATCAAGAGCCATCACCGCTCCTTGAAGACGATCTCAAAAGATTCCCAAGAAGCGGATGAAGAGATGGGGATCGGGCGCCAGCTACCAGGGTGGGTCTCCTTCCCTTAAAAAACGAGAGCTGAGGTTCTGCGGGGGTCGGTGGTTGGTGGGTGTACAAAAGTCTGAGGCTGTTGCCCTGGAAGTTTGGTCAGAAGGAGTTTGTCTGACACTCTGAACAGATCCGAAATGGCACCAAAGGGCACACAGACAGTGCATGCCATGAACACGGGTATTGTACCCCACTGCCTGAGACCTATGTGCTCCAGACTGCATGGAACTGGGTGACTGGGCACTTTTGGAAAGGCATAGCGAATTGGGGCAAACCTGGAACCAGACCAGGTTCTTTGAGGTTTGAACTTTTCGTGTGTTTGGGTCGGCCTTTAGCAGCCTTCCCAGTCCCACAGATTCACTTTTTCTTGAAGGCCTTTCCACAGCGTGTCCACCAAAGCTCCCAGTTATCTGATTGTTTGACTGTGAGTCTTTTGGGAGAAGTTACCTTTGACACGATGTGGTCAAACCGTCTTAAACAGCCAGAAAACTGCATATTGATCAGCACATAAATTAAAGGTACAAATCAAATGCACGTGCATGCGATATCTTCTCAACCAGCAGCTGGACAGCAAATGACTTGTAGCTTAGTTTCTGAAAGGAATGTATCTTTCTGTGTTTGTTCAGGGAATCGGACGGCCCGAATGGCATAGAGCTTTGATTCAAGTCTTTTTCGCTTCTCTCAGGAGCTTTGGCTGCGCGACAGCTGCACACCGGGTAGCCGCACTGTGGTAGAGGTGGCTATTGGGCGTTTCCCGGCTGTTGATGGTCGCGATGGGCTCTGCTTTCGTACATCTCTGAGCATCGTAATTAAAGGAGGTCCGAGAGGAAGGCCCCCAAGTAGTTAAAGGTAGATGCCACAAGAATGTGAAACCGTGCTTTCTCTTCTTCTTTTGCAGAGATTCCTCCTTCCGAGGGCAGGGTTCTGGGGGTCACCTTGATGAGTCCAGGGCAATCTGCTGAGGGTGGCGATCCACACTTCAACGGAGTTTGTCATGTGTGAGTTGCCCGTCGGATTGGATTCGATGCATCAACAATGACTCGCTACCTGCCCTGTGGAGCACACCTTCGGCAATCGCCAGAGAAAAGGATCGTAGAAACGGACTGCTTGATTTGACTACACGAAGCTCTAAACAAACAAGTCAGCACGAAACATGCCACAAAAAGAGTAAGCTGCTCATGCACACTCGGCACAGCTTAGGATCCTCTGGCCGTGTGCTGGGCTACTGCGCCTGGCGCCTGGAAGGGCCTTTGCAGTGCCTGGGCTTTCGACAGTTCCTGGGTCCCCGGGACCCACACCGTTTCGGCGAACGGTTTCGTTCGTTTGGCCTTCTGGGGACCTGCGGGAGGGACCGGCCGAGTAGCGGCCGACGCTCCAGGCTCTACCTCTGGTCTGATAGCGAATGTTTGTTGCTTTGTACATATTCCGACTGAAGGCAATGGGTATCATTTGATGGCTTCTTGTGCTCTTTATCGGAAAACGTTACGGAAGTGAAACCGGCGATAGGGGATGTATCCCTGAACACTTGGACAACAATAGGGAGCAGCCTGATCTGCGAATGTGTACCTTCCACTTCAGCCAAAAAAGAACTCCATGTACCACAGCTGCCAAAAATATATGTGTCTCCTTAAAAATACGTCTCCTTTGAGATATGTCTCCACTCGCCAGTTCCCCGATGCTGCATTTGCTGGGCCTCGCCGTGGAGTTCTCGCAGCGGCGCCGTGGCTTGGGCGCTGCGCTGGCGCGAGCTGCGCTGGAGCAGGGAGAGCAAATGGCCTGTGGGGCGGCGGTGCTGCACGTGCGGGCCGGGAGCTTAGTTGGAAGAGCTGACACGAGTGCTGATCCAGGAGCTGAGGTTTCGTTGTGAAGTAGTGAGCGATATTTTGGGATAGAAGCCTGAACCTAACTGTTGTGAATGTCCATCCTAGCAGAGAGCATGCCGCGCATGCCTTTAGGCTACTCAGAAAACTCAGTACATAGTCACTACGCCACTGCTGTCAGGATTCAGAGCAAAGACTTGCTTGAATTTGATCCAAAAAAGAAGTCCGCTGGCTTGTTTGATCCATACTGAGCTTGTACCGCAGATCGAGAATCAGCCTGCACAACGGCTCTACCGCCGCCTGGGTGTTCCTGGCATTTTTGCTGAGAATAATCAGAGCTCTGTGACTCATTCAGTAGCTGACAGAGTCGGCAGGCTTGATGTTCCCAGAGCCTGCTGTGAGGCTTCCTGCGGGTGGCCAAGGTGCTCGACTACTATGGACACGGGCGGGATGCCTGGGAGCTATTGAGGACGGGGCGAAAACACGGTCTCATCGGCGAGCCATTTCATAAGGATAAAATCACACTTAGGACAGACGATTTTGCAATTGACTACCAAGTCGGATGCTGTGATAGTCTCGTTTGACGCAGCCTGGGTAGCTTACACCAACGCTAGGATGTATTTGGGATGGGGCATCGTTTTGTTCGAGGTGGGCCCTCGCAAGAGCATCAAGAGATCTCGGTGCCACACATCCCAGGGAATTGCCTGCCATGGTGCAGCGCCCCGTGGATGCCCAGCAGGCGATGGGGACGGGTTTTCGCGCCCCGTGTAGGCTCTGACATCAAAAAAACGGAGCTCAGTCTGCGTGATTTATATAGATGACGGTCTACGTTCATCCACGTTAGTACAAGAAAGTGGTGTTGACTTTCTCTGGCACTCATGTATAGCGTAGACGCGGTGTTTCTTGGATCAGCAAGACCCTAAGCAGGAGCTGGTGTCTCGAGGCCCATTTCGAGCGAGCCTTTCGTGTCTGAAAGATCCACCACCAATCCAGTTTGAAGCTTGTGATCAGAGAAGCATGACATACATCTTTTTTGTGCCAAAGGTGATGAAACTGCGGGCTGAAGGCGGAGTCTGACTGCAACCAGGGAGAAATAGGGTAGCTTGAGGCTGAAGTGTATCTGCATTAGGGTGGACCGACAGCCCGATAGATTCTACAAGGCCCGAAGCCTTTTGGACTGATGTGCTGCGGACAAGGCTCTTGGTCAAATGTGGAATGCAGGTCAAGCGTCTTTATGCCCATGCTCCCTGTCTTAGAAAGTCTTTGAGCTTGATAGCACAGATAACCAGTCATTAAACCATTCATTTCCCCCGCATCTACACCGGAGATGGACTTTTGGGTCAATGACATTTCGATGATCGGAGTCCTGCCTGTCAGCGGCGGCACGGCCAGGCTTCCCCCGCCGCGCGGTGGAGCGCGCGTTGCGCTGGGCTCCGGCACTGGAGCTGGCGAGGGAGAGAACTGGGAGAGATGGGAATGAAGCTGCAAATCCGAAGCCAGACTTGGCACAGCTTTTGGATGAAAGGAGGGACAGACTTGTTTCAAGGAGTGAAGGCTGTGAAAAGCATGTGTCATTCAATCAAGGCTGTTGCTGGCGGAACACGGTCTGCGGTTGAGGAAAAAACACAGACAAATCCCGTTCCTCGCCGTCCTGGATCCCGAAATGGGTGAAAGGGACCGAAGGGACCGAAGGGACGGGATGGAGGCCGTTTCCGTGGCCCTCCTTTGCCTTTTCCTTGGGCCCAGCAACGGGAACGAAACCATCCAAAAACCCTTCGCTTCTTGTTCATAGTAGCGATGCCAGGAGCCCCGTGCGTAGCGTCCGATCGCTCCGTTCGTAGCAAATGCCGCTCCGTTCGTCGCGTCCGATCGCTCCGCTTTTGAGCGTCCAAACATCTTCCTACCAGGTCCTACCACCCAGTCGAACCGCTCAAGTGGCCGTGGATCTCTCCCAGGAGCTGGCGGCCGGGCGGCTGGTGGTCGTCTCCGAGAAGGTGTCGACCACTGAAGTGGTTTGGATCGAGTGAGCAATTGGGTCCACTTCAGTGGGAGCAGAGTTGTTTTTTTGGTCCCGGTGCCCGGTGCTGAACAAATGCACACCAAAAGGGCAGATGTTCCTATTCATGGGAAACAATTTCATGTAACAAACATATCCACGTGGTTGATTGGTGCCATGTGAATGAACCATGACTGTTGATGGACAAGTCAAGTTCTCCTGGATTTGACTGAGATGAATGGGAATCCACCATTCTCTTCTTCTACATCTCCCGTTGGTATCAATCTTGTAGGTCAGGCATTTTGAGGTTATTTCTGGTGGCAGGATTCCGCGTTGGGTTCAACCCGCGTGAATGGAAATGGATCGGGTTTGTCCATCAACACGATCATGCCAACGACCCTGCAAGCATTGAGCCTTCTCCACCTGAGATGAATTTCTTCTTCACTTGACATGGATTTGGCCACCCATATCTCATGGAAAGGTAGATTTTTCGTTTCGTTTCACCGACTGAAGAGACGCCTCTCGTCCCTTCCCGTCACGGGCGAGACGTGCTGCGCGACGTCAGGCTCTGCGCGAGACGCGCGACAATGGTGTGCTGCTTGGACCGGTGCAGAAAAAGAGCCGTACTGCCAGGGTAGACCGGACGCCACAGTCCCGCAGCAGCGCGCCGACCGCCAGTCGGGTCCACAAATGGACCAAATCAACGGAATGTTAAATGAAGCCACAAGGGACGACTGAAAGCTTTTCACCTTCCTAGAGAACCACTCTGACTGAAGGGAAGATCCTCCAAGAGTGAAGGTCTTGAGCTCTGAAGCCGGGTAATTATATAGCCCACTGTACTCTCCACGACAGTTTCCACATGAAAATTCTGGAGTTTGAAGACCTATGTCTCAGAAAGGGATTCATTTGGAGTGGCTGCCTACCGCGGAGGGACCAGCATGGTCTTCTCGGTCTTTATGTCCATTCCTCATTGGGCGATGGCTGTCTCGCTGCAGGGGTGCAACTTCGTGCAGCAGACCAGTGACATCGTTCCTTGGCCACTTTGTGTGCTGACTTCTGTCTACCAACGCAGTGGGCCAATTTGAACCATGCCAGATGTACAGAGAAGCTCCTGGAAAAAGAATTCCCTTCATGAGACGCTTTTTCAACTGTTGGGCAGCTTGTAGTAGCAGCCTCAACCTAGGCACCGCCTTTGCCCAAGGCAAGGTCATTCATGGCATGGGCCGGGCAGGGCACGTGCAGATTGAACAAACGAGAGAATCGCTGATCAATACTTAGCCCCTTTGAGAAAGCTCCTCATGTCGTGCTTTTGTGAAGTATGTAATGAGTCGATGAGATCTGTTCTAGTCTTGCAGGTGATTCTGGGTATGCTGATGGAGGTATGCCATCAGCCCCTGGCGCAAAAATGGGGTTATCCTGAGCGAGCTCGAAAGCCCAGATGCGAAAGCCTAGTATCGCAGAGGTGATTGGCAGTCTATTTTTGCTTCTTTTGAGGTTTGGGCTTGCCTCTCTTGGTGAGGTTTGGGGCAGAGTTGGGAGCTGTTTGTTGAGGTTTTGCTGGCCCGTCAGGTTTTGGGTCGGATTCTTCCCACATTCTTATATGACATGTCTGATCTGTTTTGACTGCACAGGAGAGGATCAAAGCCAAGCCATCCTCTTTCTCAATCATTCTACTAACTGCAAAATCTAACACCTCCCATATCCAATGTTTTCTGACATGCCCAGGCACTAGACCAATGAAGGTCACTGGACATTTGTGCAAAAGCAGTATACCTAAATGAAACAAACAAACAGACCAACCAACCAACCGACCAACCCACCCACCCACCCACCCACCGACCCACCCAACCAACCCAACCAACCCAACCAACCCAACCAACCCAACCAACCCAACCAACCCAACCCCCCCAACCACCCATACCATCCCACCCCGCCCAAACGCTATTGATCAATCGATCAATATTTTAATAGAACGTCAGAACTGCCAGGGAATGTCGCTATATCCTTGCCATGGTCTACGATCGCCTGGCTCAGGTGTTGAACCTGATCGCCAGCATCGCTGCAGTGTGGAGCTCGGATTGTTTGTTTGTGCTCCGAAAATGGGCGGAGTTGGTCTTTGTTCAGGCCTGACTCCATATTGTAGCAGTCATAAAGGCATTTATTCCCCCTGCAAGGGAGGTATTCATCACTCGTTTTGGTGTAATCATCCTCTGAACTCCCAGGGGGCCAAGAAAGGGGTGAATCTGTCACTGGTGATCGGGTCGAAGGTGAACTTGTGCCCATGTTTGGATAGAATGACAGAATGACATAGATCATGTATAAATCCATTCATCCGGCAGTCATTTGGTAGTTTACATGAATGATCACACATACACGGCAGAAACGGCGATACAGTTGTTGCTCTTTTTTGCAATCCCTTTTGGATCATGGTTGGAAGTGGGATCATGGTTCTGTGGTCACAACTTGGTAAGGTGGTCTTTGTCTGCTGAGGATGCACTCGATCAACTGACGCATTTGTCTGGCCTCATTATGCGACCGGTGTCCCTGGCCTACTACCAGTGCCTTGGATAAAGGCATCGACGGCATTTTTGGAGGGAACATGGTACCCCCCTCAACCGGCCGGTGAAGCAAACCTGATGAAGCAGCTAATCCGGTAAGTCTACATGGGAGCCGGTCTTGGCCCAACAAGCTCACTCTGGGCCCATAAAGAAAATACGGACATCCAGTCTGTTTCAGAAATTAGGGTTCTTGGCCCTTTTACCACCCAATACCATGGTAGCCACTCCATTCAACAGGTTTTGCATGCTCTCTAGTTTACCATCGTTGGGTGTCATCCTTGACCGTTCTGACTCCAATGAGGCATTGCCGAGTCATCGTGGCACCTTGTCACTGAAGCTGGGAATGGGCAGCTAATTCAGCGTCAGGGTGGTGCTTAAAGAGGTCGATCTGTTCGTCTTCTTCAAGCGGGTGAGACTCAGCGTGCAGAATAGGAGGAGAGCGGGGGGTTAGGGGGGGGGGAGATGTGAAAGTTTTGATTTTGCAAGGTTTTGAAGGGTTCTACATGGATTTCGCAGAGTAAAGGGCAATTTGATGTGATAACAACAGTATGCAGCAAAGCAACCATGCAAAAACCTCGAAAATCAAAAAAATAAAACAAAACTGCAGACCCCATTGGGGCTCTTGTCTGACTCTGTGGACATGTGGTCTGCAGTTTTGTTTTTTTTTGGATTTTCAAGGTTCTAGCCATCTGGAGCAGACCATGCAAAAACCTCGAAAATAAAAAAAAACAAAAAAAACAAAACTGCAGACCCCATTGGGGCTCTTGTCTGACTCTGTGGACATGTGGTCTGCAGTTTTGTTTTTTTGTTTTTTTTGGATTTTCGAGGTTCTGGCCATCTGGAGCAGACCATGCAAAAACCTCGAAAATCCAAAAAAAACAAAAAAAACAAAACTGCAGACCCCATTGGGGCTCTTGTCTGACTCTGTGGACATGTGGTCTGCAGTTTTTTTTTTTGGATTTTCGAGGTTCTGGCCACATGTGGTCTGCAGTTTTGTTTTTTTTTTGGATTTTCGAGGTTCTGGCCATCTGGAGCAGACCATAGACTTCTATTTTAATTCTAAATTGAACCTAATTAAATTCTAACTTAAGTTTATGTATTTTTAAAGTTCATTATAATCAAATTATATTTCAATTTTATTCTAATCTATTTTGTTGTAATTGTAATTATCTTTGATTATTCTGGATCTAATATTTAATTCTCAATTGAAATTATATGTGACTTTGTAAAATATTTCCAATTTAATTCTAAATTGAATATATTTGCATTCTCTTTGTTGGAATTCAAATTGAACTTGCAATTTTCATTAAATTGAATTTTTGGTAACCTAGTTTTATATCAATATTGTAATATTGTTCTATTAATTGATTCCTAGGTTAAATATCTTTAATTCAATTCTACCTTAGGCCTAGGTCAATTTCAATTTGAATAATGGATTTTGATTTAATATTATTCATTCAATTCCAATTTAATTCCAATTAATTCTATGAATTTTGACTTAAATACAATTTAGCTAAATTTTAAAGCAATATTTTTTCTAATTGAATTTGTTTCATTTCTATTTTTATTGATAATAAAATTGGATCTAAATGAATTCTAAATTGAATTTGTTTTGAATATGTAATAGACTTTGTTTTGAATATGTAATAGACTTATATTTTAATTCTAAATTGAACCTAATTAAATGCTAAATTAAGTTTATGTATTTTTAAAATTCATTATAATCAAATTGTAATTCAATTTTATTCTAATCTATTTTGTAATTGTAATTATCTTTGATTATTCTGGATCTACTATAAAATCCCAAATTAAATCTATATGTGAAGTTGTAATATATTTCTAACTTAATTCTAAAGTAAATATATTTGTATTCTATTTATTGGAATTCAAATTGAATTTGCAATTTTCATTAAATTGAATTTTTGTAACCTAATTTTATATCAATATTGCAATATTGTTCAATTCTACCTTAGGTCTAGGTCAATTTCAATTTGAATAGTTGATTTTGATTTAATATTATTCATTCAATTCCAGTTTAATTCCAATCTATTTCTCATTTAATTCTATTTCATTTTGTTTTGCATTAAAATTGTAATTTTGCCTATTCCAATTTCCAATTGGTTTGTTAATGATTTCTAATGTTAACGTCTTTATATAATTTAAATTCAATTGATCTATATATCTAATTTTCTAATTTGATTCCAATTCAATGCAAATGGAATTCTACTTGAGTTTTGCTTCCATTCTAGTGAATGAATATTATTGGTGGTATGAATATATTTCATTAAAGAAAGAATATATTTCCATATTGGAAAAATTTCATAAACATCTTTTATGTTCAAAGCAAGATCAATTCCCTAGAGATAAATCCGAATGTCATAAAATCCAAATTCTAATTCAACACGAATGAAATAATAGAATTGAATCTGAACTATAAATAATGAAATTAAAGGTAAAATCGAATTATAATGTGGCTTGTATTGAACCCCAATGAAGGAAATTTGAAGCAACATAGAATTGAAATATAATTGAAATAGAATTGATCCTGAATTTACATATAGGTTTGAACTTGAATTGAATAAGAGTTAAAATAGAATTTAGTTATTTAGGATTTATAACTTTCTGATGTATTTACCCAACTGCATTTAATAAAAGCAATACAATTCCCACTCTAAAAGAAAGAAATATGATTTTGCATGGGGACTATTTGGTAAACACCTAGCTTATGGATTTAATCATTTCTATAATTCATAATTGAATGAATAAATATGTTTACCAATTGCATATAGAGCAGGAAATTTACAAATTTCACAACCCTATTAAAAAGATATCATTCACCATAAAGAACAAAACCTTACAAAAGAACAACTTTCACAAGCCTATCAATGCGTACAAAAGAACAACTTTCACAAGCCTATCAATGCAAGAGAGATTGCTTGTTTATATTGTAATTTCCAGCATTTCAGCAGCAGATAGAAGGCTTTGAAGTAGAGAGTGCAAAAAACGTGCGTTTCTACAGTATGCATACTCTCCCCCCCCCCCTCACCCCCCCTTCTGAATAGGAGACATCGCGAGAAGAAAGGTGCACACTGCACACTCTTGTTGTATCTCCAGAATGTCTGTGTACAAATACTGTTTCGTCAGCAGTCATGTAGTCAGCTCATCATCAAGCCGCCTCGGTTTTAGAGAAGCGACTCACTCCCGCGACGCCCAGATTATCTTCAGCATCATGTGGCCTTTGGTGACTGAAGTCGGTCCGAGACTTAGCAGCTGTCGGTCTCCGTCACCGAGACTTGGCAGTCCGTGTCGGTGGACTGGTCGACTGGTGGACCAAAGGAATTCGAACAACACGAAAAACGCCACCAAGATGAGATGTCCTTTTTGGGGTTCACAAGCAACGTTGAGGCACTTGGATTCACAATTTATAAGCGATCACTGCCACTTGTCTTGCGATGAACAAGTCTGTCTCCATGGTGCATCGCTTCCCCTTTCGGATTGCGATGCTGGGCACCATGGTTACTTTGGGCACCAGTTCACTGAGGAGAAAACCAGATGGGTGCCATCTTCGCTTCTCGGATGAGAGGGGGGGTCACGGACGGTCACGGGGTGTTTTTCTTTGTCATTTGTGAAGCTCTACACCAGAGTCCCCAGCCGTGAAGTCAGCTTGAGGTGGTTGACGATTGACACCTGCAGGCGGCAGGAATTCTTTTTCATGGTATGCAGATCTTCACCTGCCGGGTGCTTGAGCCACCTGGGGGTTTGCAGCCACTGTTTTCCATCAGCCGCCCAAAAAGGGTTAAGCCGTTCATTCTCTCAGTTTTGTGAAGGTTTATGCCTTCTTTTGAGACCGACTTGGTTGCAGATCCATCATTCCCCGGACAAAATCTAAACTGCATTAGGGTTTGACTGGGATCTGTTTGGTCAAAACCGTGCTCTGACCTCAGGACAACATCGTCTTCCCATTTGTGGTCTACTGGGCCCCGACCTGGGCCTGGAATTTGGGATGTGGCGACTTTCTTTGGAATTCTTTACAGAATTGCCCTTTCTTTGGAGTCTACTACACATCGGAGTTTGGTCGGTCCATTTCACGAGTTCGAACTGGGGCTGGTTGCTGACCACTGAGGCAATGTCTGGGCTTGAGAGGCGGGAAGAAAAGGACAGGTGCCCCCAACAACACTAGCCAAGAATCTAGGGGGTCTTGGAACATAAAAGACAGCTATCGACTTTTTTCTTTGCTTTTGGAGACTTTTGTTCTTGTGCATTGTTCACAAGGCCTGGCTCATCGAGCAGTTGCCTGGCCCAAAAGAATCCCCAAATATGTTGTGCATGCTAAATTATCCAAGGATATGTTTGATACACACAGTGAAGTGATATAATTGATATATCCAACCACTGACAGATGGTTGCCCTGAATCCCCATGTATCTCAACACTTGTTCGTAGATGATTGCTGGCCCTATTACATGAGCGTGAACACTGATGAGCGGGGCATTCGGAAGACCTTTTCATCCAACGAAACCAGCACCCCCAAAAAGGGTCACCCAGTTTCTTTTTTTTGCACGCTCCTACTTATATAACTAAAATAGGTGCCTACTTAAGTAAGGGAGTAAGCTGCTAGCAATATGAAGCTTCTAGCTAGGTCGCAGGATAGCTCACGCTTCTTCAAGGAAGCTCCCCCCCCAACCTGAAAACGGACAAGGCTTCGATTCCTAGATCTTATTTGGAAAGGCTGGCGGAGATGATGGAGAACCCCGTGGGCGACGATGACACGGACATCAACCTACTACAACAGCTTCATGAACTTGAGGTGACACATTGGGTGGCGCAAGAGGAGCCTCTGTGGCTCTTGGGAGATCCGAACGGAGCTTTGTAGAAGTACAACCAGACACTGCCTCCAGTTCGACTCAGTGGGGACTGAGAGACTATCTTGTTTGGGAACTTTGACATCAGACAGTATGCCAAGCCAAACTCCTACCATCTGACAATAATTAGTGAGCCTGAGCCAGTCTGTAGAAAACTAGAAAACTCTCCCTCTCCGCCAAAAAAGATGGTTGAATGGGGGTTCTGGGTACTTTTTGTTCATCAACCATCTCGTGGAACATTTTTGGCTCTCAACAATATTTGTTGAGCCCTTGTCGTTATTCTCTATAGGGGTTCTGGGGAAATTTTGGTGCAAAAAGTCACTCCGTTTCTTGTCCTTGTTATTCAGCGAGGTGGCTGATTGTTAGGCTGTTGTGTTTTGGTTCAATGTTGTAATTCTTAATGCTTGACTGTTATGCTTTAGTTTCATCGTTAAATGTTTTGTTGAGGTTGTGTTTGGTTCAGACGACCAAATTTTCTCCAGAACCCCCATAGAGAAGAACGACAAGGGCTCAACAAGAATTCTTGCTTCGCCCAAACATCTTCAACGGCGGTGGTTGATGAACAAAAAAAAAGTACCCAGAACCCAAACATCTTCAACAACCCTCTCATTGAACTCCCTATTTGTCCTTCCCCCCCCTTCGCTGGCTCGGCTCTCGCTCGGCTCTCGCTCTGGTCCGTCAGGTCGGTGCGCAGCTCGCCTTCGAGCTCGCTGAGAAGCGTCGGAGTGCGCTACGCAGGACGCGGTGTGGTTGGGATGAAGATGGAGCAAGGACCTTCTCATTCAACCAGGCATTCATCATTCATCACCCAGAGGTTTCAGGGTCTGGAACGTCAGGCAACCAGGGTTTGAGGATGATGAGAAGGATCTTTGACCTTTTGACCTTGGATTCCTGGTTAAGATTGGCCCGAGTGGAATGATCCTTGACCGTCAAGCCCTTGGGATGATTCCTTGCATTGTCCAATTGCTGATCAGTACACTGATAGGTGGTTGGAGCCGCAAGCAAACCCGTTTGCACTGGCCTAGCATGGGCTTCAATTGGTTGTTTTCAACGGGCCATTTGCTTGCATTCGGGTAGGTGAAGCGTTGGCAGGTAGACTTTAGACCTGCGATGGCTTATGCGCTACCGCCACGGCGAACATGTTTGCCACAAGCCTGCCAGAGGACCTTGGCTCGCGTTTGCCCCAGCTACATGGAGAGCGGCAAGGCGGAGGGCAGGAGGATGGCCAAGGACCCAACCTGGGGAAACGCAGTACATAATTGTATTGTAGTTGCAGCTGTACAAAGTTTGCGTCTCTTTTGCAGGCAGCGCAGCGCAAGTCGCCACCGATGGTGGCTCCTGCGCATTTCGAGGAGATCCGACGTACATTTCGGTGAGACCTGCGGGCTTGGGCATTGCGTGGGAATTTCGGTCAAAGCAATGTTTAATGTTGAACCGCTCTCACAAGCTGGTTCAGATGTTGTTTCCCTGGTTAGGATTAGCAGTGCCCCGTTGAGATGTGGACGTTGATTTGACAATTGGCCGTTTAAGAATTCCGCATTGGGTTGAACAGTTTTTTCCTTATGGTTCGTGCATTGATTTGGGGCCACAAATCAATCCCACTGCAATCCCAAACTCTCAACAGATTTAATCTCAAAGCGACTGGATCTTCAAACTTCAAGAGACAAATCGCTTCAATTCGCTTTGGGGCCTTTAACGTCAAAGCTTTGAGATGCTCAGTGATGAACTTGACAAGCGCGTGCGCCCCAAACCTAGTCCCTAGGATTCGACTCCAAACCCTCCGTCAGAACCTAATCCTCCTAACCAGTTTCGCAAGTGGAGCTTCCGGCTTGGCTGATTTGCTTGGTAGGCTTGGGTGGGTCACTGCAGCACTTTTTGTTCACGCATTGAGACACGTGGTGGGGCTCCCAGATATTTTCTCTTCAGGACCACTTCTGCTGGCTTCCGATCCCTACGGTGATTGCTGAGGGAGTCGGGCATGCTCAGTTGTCACTCGTGGAACACTTGTAGACTACATCACCTTGCAAGTTGCAAGTCTTCAAATTTTTGAAGTCCTCCACTACCCGAATACAGGAGCCATGTAGATATATAGTAGGATCATTTTGCCGTGCTTTGTCAATTCCCACCACTTTGAACCAGTTTGCAGCACCAAGCTTGCGGAATGGTTTGCAGCACCGTGTTTGACTGATACTCCAAGCTTTCGGAATGCCGATGCCATGTTTGACTGAGCCTGTGAACGTGGACGTTTGTAAATGGACACATACGAGATCATGTTGAGCTCGACACATGATACCTCTCGGAATTCCTCTTGATGTACAGAATTGTGTATGTGTGCATGGAAACAATATTACTGTAATTGGCAAGTGTGTGGTGTTGATTCCCGTAATTGGCAAGTGTGTGGTGTTGATTCCCAAGTTGCAGTGCGACTGGCCGTCTTGCTAACTACATGCAAACTTGGGTGTTGTTCCTTGGCGATGCCCATAGACTATCACACACTGCAACATGGCAGGCGTTGCTTATGTAGGCGCCTCATGCCTCTTGAGGGTTTGGTGACAGTGACACTTGTTGGATTGGAGGTCTTTTCTTCGGACTTAACATCAGCCAACCCTGTGGTCCCGACCACCGAAGCGTTTGAGATTCATCGTCAGATGGTGCTGAAGCATGGCCATGTGGACCACGTGCATTCGGCCTTCTTCGAGGCACGACGACGCGGTCACCATCGGTCGCCGAGTGGATCTGAGGATTGGACGAGTGGCAAATCACCCATGGTTCCTTTGGCTGTAGGGAAGAGGGCTGATCCATGACCATCCCTAATGGGATTCCAATGTCCTTTACTCAGCTGTTGCTGAAGGGAGTGCCACGGAGGTGATCTAGGGTGATCTCTGATTTTGGATGCAAAAGCCGATCCCTTCTTTCGGCTGCATTGTTTCAATCACTACCTGAACAGTTACCTACTTTTGCAGCTCCATCAATTCAGTGGCGGGGATAGTGCTTGCATGCTTCTTGACCCTTTAGTGGTGAGTCGGCGACTGCCACAAGGCTGCAAAGCTGTTGTTCTTGTTCTCTTTTTTGGTAGAATCTGCAAGAAGACGTGGTTGCACAACCTCTATCATTCGCAGGATTTGTTCTTTCCTCAGCGCGTACGCCGAGCGGTCCAGGGCCATATCGCCGAGTTCCGCTCCTTCCTACGGAGGGCCCTGAAGCGGCCAGGGCCACTTTAGAGGGGCTGAGAGCAGTGGACTGTGAAGACTTGGAGGGACACAGACAGTGGACGTTGGTGTGGAGCTGTACAGTGGAGATCACCATCTATGCACTGCCGTAGGAACATCTTGAGTGAAGTCGAGAATCACCCTAGAACTGAAGAATGAAACAGTAGTGTGGTGAGGATCTACGGGCATGATTTGCCTTTGAACTTGAAAGAACTTTCTGCCAGTCCTGCAGCTGTAGACTGATCAATTGCATGAACACCAATATGTTCCCAGGACCATGTTCTTCATGAAGTGTTCCCAAAAAACGAATCACTGATCGCACCACCCTGATCGTGACCTCAGTTATCGATCCGCTGGGCTTTCTGCCAAATCATCCTGTGAAGATTGAGATCCTCCTCAATCCATAGTAATCCACTATGGAGCAAATTGAACCATAGTAATCCATAGTAATCCTCAATCCACTAGTTCCTCTTCAAATCCCTTGGAGCTGATTGAACCTTCTACTTAGGCACAGCGCTGGCCGGAGGAGCATCTATGAAGCGATCCCGCAGGACGTGCATGCCGTGCGGCTGAACAATATCCCCCAAGTGACACCCTGAAAAGAAGAGGAAAAGGTGGATGAGTAGAAGGATCCATTTGAGTAGAAGTTGGACAACTCAGTGCATCAAGCCTCAACCATGGATGGGTTGGAAGGTGGATCTGAAGGAAAGCCCGTTTGGCGGATCCTTGGAGACACTGAGTCATCCGGACCTGGGATGTGTCACTGCCATGGTCACTGCCACCGGACCTTTCAGGGGTAACTTTGCCCCAGCTGTGGCAGGGCTCAGAGTCAGATTAACGTGGCCTTGGGCTGTGGGAGAATAGCCTTGGATGCACTGTGTCGCTGTCGAGAGATGTTCCTGGTCGACCTGCGTTCCGTTCTTTTGAGGATGTATCGACCTGCCAGTGTTGGTCGACCTGCTACGGCACAGTTTCCAGTTTCAACCTCATGGGTGAGTGCATGGCCTATGCAAACCTAGGGTTCAGGGTTGGCATTCTTCACTTCGATCTTGGTCAAGTTTGACCGTGACCGATAGACCTCAGGCAGCCGCAGTACACTTGTCCAGAAGAACAGGTGTTCTGCGGTCAGCTGGTCCCGGCTTGATTGCCCGGCTTTGTTTTGCTGCATCCTCTGTGTGCTCAGGTGCCCCAAATGTCCCAGAGAGAAAACCTCCGTCGCTGGTGCATCGGACAGGATGCCGAGTCTGAGGAGCTGAAGGTTTACCCTGAGGTGGGGAAGTGCTGGGAAGTGCGGGGAAGATATTAGATATATATAATATGTAATGTACACATAAATACATAAATTCATAAATACACTATATATATATGTATATGCACACATGAATATGTGTTTCTATTTTTCAGGAACCTCCAGATAGCTTTTTGCGTGGGCCAGCTCAATTTATTTTAGTTCCAGAGGCTCCGGTTTCTGACTTGTCACTTGGGGGGAAATCATGCTGACAAGTGAGTCTCTATGCCTTTTTGAAGACATGCGGCTGACCCACAGCCACGGCCATGGCCACCTGGCATTGGTTGAACACTTAGTTGTTGGAGATTCGCACACATGAAGTCGACAATACAAAGTGGATGATACTGAACCTACCTTTTGGCGGTGTAGTTTCTGGCAACTCTGGGTAGATTTGCGTATGCATGTATTTGTATTTTATGTGTGCAATCGACGGGACTCTTTTTTGTGTGTTTTCCTTGTGATTATTGCATACCCAAACAAGGAACTTTGATTTGGGCAAACGCCTTTCCAGCCTTCTAAAGAGGCGGGTGCCGACACCACCATGGGCATCATCCAGCGTGATTGCAATGGTTTTTGGCGGCTGGGATGGAAATAATCAGCTGGGATTGTTGGATTGGTTTAATGACCATGCAGAATCCCAACTGCCAGATTGCTTGAAAGTGGTGGGAGGAAGCCGGGATCAGGTGGCCAGTTTCCACTTACTTGACACTGCCTCGTGTTCTGGTTAGTCCTTTGACACTCTATATAAATCTTTGGGGATTCGTCAGCTTCAGATGAATCTGGAAGACGAACATTTTGCAACAGGCGCACAGTACACAGCTAAGGTACTTCAAAGGATTTTACCTTTTCAACATTGGGAGACTTGCGGGACAATTGTGTATTGCAGTTGCGCCCTTCGCACAAGGGCAGAGCATGGCAGGTTTTGACCAGAAGAAATACCGAGATATACAGACAAATTGGGCCAAAGGACCCACTAAAGGCCACCAGCTCAGGCTGCTATTTTTCTGAGGGTCCCAAGTTTCTGGCCACATCTCAGTCGGATGTGTTTAGCTGAGGCACTACTTGGCATTCCGCTCGGTGGGAGGGGGGCAGCGACAGCACGGCTTGTTCTAGGGTGAGAGCGCAGCACGGCTTTGAGCAGTGACACAGTGGCGAAGAGTCACTTTCGATAGGTAGTTGTTACCCAGTTTGTAATCAGCAACTATTCACTTAGGAGGCCCCACAAGAGTCACAAGACCGAACTGGGCTCGACTTCTCACATAATTATCGTAGTGTGAACCACCTCAAGCCTTCTGGGAGTAGATTGCATGAAACTCTTCGCGGGGTGTCCGTGGCCTCTTTGTCGCCTGTCTGATGAAAATTATGGTCTTGGGATTTGGAGGCTCGACTAACAAGGACGCTATTAGGTGGAGGGAGGCCACCGCTACTAGGAACCAGAAGGCTACTAGTTGCAAGGGGACACGTAAGCCACTCAAAGCCTTGCCACTTGCAAATCCTTTGGACCTCTTGATGAATCCCAGAGCCACCCCCCCGCTTTTCGACTGGACACCCCGGCGACCTGGACAACGCAGGTGCTGACCAGCAACTTGGGCGCAGGTGAGCTCACACGTCAGGTGAGGTGCACGAACCCGATTGATATGGGGAGTCTATTTGGGTCCATTGGGTCTACGTCATCTACGTGTGTGTTTTTTTCAGCATTAGTCAGTGGCATGCCACGAGATATATCCACATCAATCAGATTGCATGGGACTCCCCGATGCTCTTCTTCTTTTTCTTCTCACTCACGGGAGCTTGTGCTGCTGGGGCAAGGTTTTCTTGTGCTTCTTCTTCTCTGACCGTGGTGGTGGGAGCCAGAAGGTAAAACAAGAACTCGTGGCTTCCATCCCGCTGAGTTGAGAGCCACAGCATGTCCATTTGTTCTAGGACGACCGATGACCACCTGAGCCTGGGCTCAGCCTGGGTGGCGTTCCATTCTGGGCTTTGACCAAAAAGCGGAGGTTCCCTTGTCACATGACCGGATTGACCACCAGAATCTCGATCACCTCAAAAGATGAATTGGGAAAGGCGGGAAGAGTCATCCCTTCAAAGATGACATGTTGAACTAGAAGATGGAACTATCAAGCATGAGAATACGCATGAGAGTATGATGTTGTAAGCAACTTACAACTAGTCCACCGTTTCGGGATATTCCAACATTTCCATTTGCTCCGACTTTTACCCTCTCCCTCTCCCTCTCCAAATCTCTATGCCCTCACTGCCTCCTGTGCCTCCCCTGTTCCAACTTCATCTCATGTGTTCTATGTGTCTGTCCGTCCGTCCATCCATCCATCGGTCTCTCTCTCTCTCACACTCACTCTCACACTCACGGTCACTCTCACTCTCACTCACTCCCTCGCTCGCTCGCTTGCTCACTCAATCCCAAAGTGGCCGGACCGGGATGAGCCATCAGGCACTCTGGCGAAAACGAATGGTTCACCTCATGGGCCAAGACCATCCAGCTGTTGGGGCCCAAGAGAAATCTCGCACCAAAAAACCAGGGAAGCCCTTCCAAGGTTCGCCAGTGGCACATTAAAGTTTTATTCCTTGATTTGCTGCACTGATCTTAGAGTTTTTTCACCATGTCCCCCATGTTTACTGAACCCTTCTCATCAGCTTTCTTTTGACCCAGCTAGTGGTGTAGCTCAGAAAATGCACTTGTACAGTAGTGCCTACCGACTTCCGTGCCTATCTGCCCATCTAATTATACATTTTGCTGGGTGGCTTGATTCTAGATATACTGTACAACATTTGCAAGTTAGACCAAGTCAAGTAGTCCCTATTGAACAACAAAAGCACCCTCTGCAAAAATGACACTGGGTATTCCGCTGAATAACGTATTTAGCTTGGCCATCTCCGAGGCCGAACTTCTCCAAACCGACTCCCAAGACACTGCGAGGCGCCAGATGGGGCGGCGGGTGAAACCGAGCGTTAGCTGCGTTGGGTCTTGCTTTAGCAAGGAAGGGAGACCCGAGACCAACAATAACCGTTGCTAGATAACAGCAAGCTGGCCATTGTGCTGTGAGGCATCGTTGCCTTGTTGAACCAGGATTACACGGCGACGCATTTTGGCAACCACTTGCCCTAGCTCTTGTTTTCCCCGCTTGCCTCAAGTTGTGGGTGAGCGCAGGTAGGTTGCAGTGTTGCACATAGATGTGTTGCACCGTAATGAGAGGATGGCATAAATAAACAGCCGCTGCCTCATTCATCGAGCACACCCAACTCACGGCTCTCAGATCCCGTTCGTCTTCGTGCTTTCACTGTGAAAGGGGATCCCTCACCGTGCCGATTTCCCGGTTTTTTTTCAGATGCTTCGCGGAGCCAAAAGCGGAGAGGTCGGTGCTCCTGCGGCCCATCATGGGCCCTCGCCCTCGGAAGCATCACGTGTCAGAGGCGGGCCGATTTCTCACGGTGAGCCGCACGGCACATCTACTGGCGGTGTTGGCCATCTATTTTTGTGCTTTGCTTTGCTGTGTCAGAGGATTGGTGATCTATCTGTGGTTTCCTTCTCTTGAATATCGAAAGTCAAGCCCCTTTCCACCGCTCATTGGGGATCGCGGATCCGTGGTAGCCCCGGCTGACCTGCCAGAGCACTTTGAAGTCCGCTTGAATTTGGACTGAAAGATAGTGGCCACTGATCACCCCCACTGAAAGCATACCACAACTATAGCCTTGACAACGCTTCCAAACATACTAAAGACTGACGCAAGCATACCAATACAATCGCCAAAGATATGGCAAGTGATTGAAGCCATGCCAACCGGCCCTGCAAGCGACGTTGTGGAAGGCATTGATGCAAGCTGCGCCAAGGGGTGTACCGAAAGCTCAGGACGCTGAATGGACAGGTTTCGGGTGTTTTGGCCGATAGACCTGGTATGAGTGCTGTCATTCCAAAACCATGACAAGTCACATTCGTGAAATGCTGTTATATGAGTCTTCCTAATCGATGATTCTTTATGTATCCATGGCAAGTAGCAGTCTTGCTTCCTCAGAGCCAGAGCTTGCCGGAAGTGTTGGGTGTTTGTAGACAAAGGCTAAGCCGATAGGCTGATAGTAAGAATTCCCCGTTCGGTGAAGGTAATTTACACATCTTTGTCCTTTTCTCCTTCAATTATATGCTGACATGTTTGCCAGGTTCGCAAAACAGAACTGCACTGGTATCGCGTCCGATCACACGTGCCAAACTCACATGCTAAATCGGTATTGCTCCCTCCCTTCGGACAAAATGAACCGTCTCAGAGACCGTCTCGAAGGTTTGCAAAAGGTGTTGCAGCGACGGATTTCCGGTTCCAGGAGGGTCTCAGTTTGGCCCAGGATCCCAAAGCTGGGTACGGTGCTTCGGACAAAGGCCCAGGCAGGACTTTTTTTTGCCAAGATAGCAAACATGCTCCAACATAATACTGTAAACAGGTATGCGACTAGTAACAAGTGCGTCGCTTCTAGTAACAAGTGCCTTACTAGTAGTAACAAGAAGCTATACAAAAAAAAGGGGCATTTCCGCATTTCTGGTGGTGCTACAGATCCTTGAGCAGTGTGGCATTGAGGTTTGCCACACAAGCCAGCCCTCAAAAAGGAGGAAAGCCACCGACATGCATGTTGCCACCGACATGTATGATGCCAGCAATTGCTCCTGCAAAGCTCGGGAAGGTCATTTGGGAGATCCAAACCGGCACATCATACACATGACTCTTCTGCATCGTGGCCTCTTTTCCTGGTCTCATCACGTCTGGGAAGGAGCAAAAGCCGATGGGGTTGGGAACCTGCCTTGCTCTTGACCGCCTTAATGGATATTGCAGCGGGCTGCCTCAGTGTATTTCACTAGTCTTTCACTCCAAATACAGCAGGTTCATTGGCGTTGAGCTGCGAAGCCTGACTGGGCCCTCTTGGCCCCCGGGCCTGAGCGCCAGGCTCGCCCAATGACCTCATGGGCTCGCCCCATGCCGGCAGTGGCCCCATGCCACGTGGAGGCTAAAGCAGTGCTGCTGCTTTGTTGTCTTTCCAAAGCCTTGGGGGTCCAGGGCCACTTCTGGTGAGTTGGGGGGGTCCTCCAATCCAAGTATGGGCGGTTCAGGACGTGCATGGTGTGGAAGCAGGCGACCACCTCCACATGCGCACCTCATGCCTCCAGGTTCCAAAACGCCAGTTGACCCGCTGAGGATGGGTTTAGTTGATATTGCATAGTTGATATTGATAATCACCAAGGTTTTGGGAACGCACATCCAACCCCGACCAACGGTCAAGCAAGTTAGTCTAGCTTGCTAGCCACTTTCTGCGTTCGGAATGTCGCGTGTTTTCTGGCTTCGCTTTGACCACCATGTGTTTTGATACTATACTTGTTTCACAGTTACATACAAGTTCAGCTTACTCGTGTTTCCACCAGGCCTTTTGTAGAAACCCTTTTGTTCAATTTCAGGACTCGGTTGAGACTGAACTGTTGAAAAATCGTCACCAGGGTGGGAGATCCTTTTTCGTCTCCCAGCAGTCCCCACTCCCAAAAGCGATTTTGAAGCAGGTGATTTGCTTCGAGAGATGGACAGCTCTCCTGGAGGCCACTTCAAGGAGCGCGACACTTCCGGGTGAAAAACAATTAAGAACCTGCGGACTCACTTAGGGATTTTGGAGATCGCGGTAGGATATATATATATATATAGATATAGGCATGACATGTACATTTTCTGGGGCCCTTCGCTGGGCACGTTCGATGACCATGAGTTGCTTGTGGTTGATGTCGGAGCTGTCATTGAAATTTGATTTTAGCATATTTTAGCAACGGAGCCGGATGTCTCAGATTGACTCCTTGAAGATGCCTCCGTTCGCGACCTTCGGGTGTCTCCTAGGACACCTTTCCTCAGCCGCCCAACCCGCCAAGACAGGCTGTCGCCCGAGTTTGACAGAAGACCTTCATTCTTGAGATGGTTGGAAGATTTGGGTGCTCCCTAGACTTTTGGCATCTTTTGACCGAGCGGCTCGCTTGGCCCCGAAGTTGGTGTGTTAGTTTGTCTGTACTTTGGAAATTACCTCCCTGTGATTGTGAGCAAGTGGAGCCGAGACCCTTGAACCACAAATGTTGCACAAGGCAATGCCACATGTGTGCGTACTAGTGGCTGAATGAGACCCTTTCATTGTCAGGCAATTATGACGCATATGATTGTGCTTTTTCTTGGGGGCATCTGACCTTTGCAGAGAATTGATTACACTGCCTGACTGCTTGGACGACTCACCGATGTGAACGCATCACCGGTTTTCTTCAGATGACCAAAGGAGCGTACCCGTCGATGGACACGTCGTGTTGGAACTGGCACCTCAAACTCCACAGAGGGATCTCTGTGTCTTGGTTCCATAGGTAACTAGGAGCAAGAAGCCACTAGGTATAAGGGCTCCTGGCCTTACTACTAGGAGCAAGGACGCTACTAGGGGATCGAAGTAATATTGAGCAACTGAGAGTGTTTTCCAAGAAGAGTAGGGGCCCTCGTGGTGGCGCATCTCATTTTGCCAGGCCCCGTGGAGTGGGGAGGACCGCCAGGGGGGCTTGGGTGAAGCTTCGGAGGTTGTTTCAAGAATGTGGATGTGTCTCAACTCCAGAGGATTTGTGTTGAGCTCTTTTCGATGTTTTAGAGGCAACATCAGCCAACAAAAAGGTTGAGACTAGCCAGAACTTGGTGTCAATTTGGAACCTCGGCGGTCCAAGGTTCAAGCTTCCACCCCTGAGTGCGAGGCCCGCATCCAAAGATGATGCGTCTCCAGATCCCGGATGGAAGGGGAAGCGCATCGCCGTATGAGTCGCATAGATTGAAGGATCGATCTTTTGGATTTTTTTTAGATCCTCGCAATCCAAGGTTGCTGATGTCTCCCTGGTCCTGGCCGGAAAGAAAGTTTTCAATCCTCACCTGCGTGAGCATTTGTTGCAAGCCTTGCGGCCACGCTAGTTCCAACACTGTGTCAAACCAAACCTGAGGCTCAACATTGCCACCCAGTCTGCTCCAAAGTCGAGCAGGCTTCTGACCCTAGCCGACCATCCTCTCCTTTTGCAGCCCGATTCAGATGGGGTTGGTTGTGTCTGTTCCAGTTGTGAAGCTCGGGAGTATGGACAATGCAGGAGTATGGCCGTGCTCTGGCGTCAACAAGACGATCACTTTATGCCACAGTCATGCTGGAGCGTTTCAAGGAAGCGTACACAAGGAAGGCATGAGGCGACAAATGGACTGAGACTCAGGAGCCAACCGGACAATCCGAGCCTAACTCAAAGGCCAGCTGATTAGTTGACGCAGGGCCCAAGCAAGCAATTTCAATCTACGCAGTTGACACCCTCGCTTTTCCGCCAACCTGCCAACAAGACTTGATGACCTTGCTTCCTAAATCAATCTTGGGATCGATGAACCAAGTTGATTCGTTTATATAGATGAGCTGTCCCCTGCAGATGTTTTGAGCAGAACGCATTCGAATTATGGGTGTTCGTCAAAGAGAGCCTCCTGGACTAATTACACTTGTGTTTGGGGAAATACGGGTACTATGCACGTGTCAAGCAAAGGGGAGCGACCATCATGTGTGCATTACAAAGAACCGCTTATGGTGCTTGGAGCTTGTCAACCTTCATGCTCGCTTTGCATGACAAATCTGTGCAGGCTTAAAGTCACATATTGTGGCTACTGAGAGTGGGGCAGGTTAATTTTTCCTTCTGTATGCACCCATGCATGGATCAAGCTTGGCATGTTGTGCATACATTGGTCTTAAACCGCTTATGAAAGGCTAAGGGCTGACCGATGGGACATGTCCCAAGGTCCCACGGGTGAACACCAGCTTCAGTTCTACCGTACTACCTATTATGCATCAAAAGAAATCCCGCCAGCCAGCAGGAGTGCGAGCCTGCCAGAGTTCTTTCTTCCCAACCCCATGTTCTAGGTGTTTGGCATGGGAGATCACTGCTGCTGAGATCACTGACATCAGGACACTGGACGACTTGCTAGACAAGGCAAACCAGCAAACAAACCAAGACTGAATCACTTCCGACCTTGAAACGATGGCACAGTCGGATGCGAGAGAGCGCAGCCGAAGCCCTCATCGTGCAGGCGGGTAAGGAGAGCCCAAGCGCGGCCCGAGGGTGTCATGCTAGACCGCTCCAAATCATCACAGTGGTTCGACCAGACGCAAGGTGAACGCGCCGATGCCCTTTGCTCCTAGTAGCATCCTTGCTCCTAGTAGTAAGGCCAGGAGCCCCTAGTAGCGTCCTTGCCCCTAGTAGCGATGCCCTTTGCTCCTAGTAGTAAGGCCAGGGGCGCCCCGTTCGTAGCGTCCTTACTCGTCCTGGGTCCGTTCGCAGCTTCGGACCTTCGGACACTGCCCAACCTTCACCCCAAGCAGGGGCTCGATCCCCCCATACACTTCAGGTGATGACGATGGCACTGTGGGCCCTCACCAGGCGAGTCACCCATCGGCTTGGTGGCCCCCAAAGCTTTTGGGTGGAGGGGCGAGAGGAGATCGTTCAAATGAACACATCCTCATGAATCCCTTGCTCCTAGTAGCGATGCCCTTTGCTACTAGTAGCTTCTTGTTACTAGTAGTAAGGCCAGGAGCTACTAGTAGCGTCCTTGCTCCTAGTGTCATGAAGGGGACTCAGCTTTGGTAAAATTCCGACTCAAGATCGCTAGAATCCACGGCAAAAAGGACCTGCAGATGCGGTGACGAGTGCTGAAGTAGTGTAGCTGGGTTAGTTTTCTATAGTTTTCTTTTCTTTTGTCTACTTTACAAGCCAAATCATGCGTCCTCTACGTGAGAAGCAGTTTTCTTCTCCAAACAGGATTCAGAAGCCTTTCATAGCCCTTCTCATGCTTGGGCCAGTCAAAAAAGCACACGAACTTTCTCTCAACCCCAGGTCTCCTACGAAGAGCTTGTGGAGGCTCGTGGCCAGTGCGAAGGATTTGCGGTCGTTTTCTTCAGGTGGTCTTACTGGATTCAATTTATGAGACAAACCACTTATCCTCAAGCATTGTCAGTTTCAACCTGGTACCGCTTTCACCCTGTCTCAGGTAGTTGGGGTTAAACTAGGGCGACCGGGCAGGCCAGCATGTCAAATGTCAAAAAGGACAGGACAGCTTCACCGAGGCAACAAGTGAAGAATACCCTCCAAGAATATCGAGAGTCTCTGATTTGTTCCAAAACATGCGGAACGAGATCACACAGGGAACTCAAATTTTTGTATGCTCTTTACATGACGAAAACATTTGGAGATTTCAGCCCAGAATAGCTGGGTCCGTGCGCGTTTTGCTTTCGTGCCAGATCGGCTTATCCAAAGGCCTTGCCCGGGAACAGGCTCGGATTGTCCAGATGCTTGGAGGAAACACCGGTTGGGGATGTAATTGTAGTAGCCAACTAGGGAACGACGCCACCAGGCGCCTGGTCTTGTCGGCAAATCGGTCATGACGCCCCCAGTGTCACCCTGCGGCGCACGCGTGCGCACCCTATTTTCGCCACTTGCCAAAGCTGCTTTGTGTTCCACATTTTGGAGAGAGCTTTAACGTTCTCCTGAGGCGATCCACGCATCTTCTCGCGTCGAAACACCCACTGCCACACACGCATCTACAGCTGAATGCGTGGCCTTCACACCCTTTCCTTGTTTTTTGTTGGCTGTTTGTGGCAGCCAACTTTTCAAGCTCTTCCGAAGCACGCTCAACAGAGGCATGCTCGCGTAGCATCGACATGGTGCCCCACGGCAAGAGTCGTTTGGAAAAAACAACAACGCTGAAACTAAAGGTGACAAACCTTTACCAGTCTCCAAATGATGTTCCCAAACTGCTAGCCACAACCCCACAAAAATTCTGAGTAGTCCGTCAAGCCTTGAAAATCCAAGCACCAATGGTCCTGGTCCAAAACAATTTTGATGGTCAAACCAACAAAAGGATCCCCACTACGAACTTTACACCAAACTAAAGTCAAGTCGTCCAGATAACCCAGGTGACCACGAAGCCAAGGTCGGACAACCGGGGGTACCTCGTCTATGTCCACAAAACCCGCCAACGGCAACAAAAGAACCAACGAAACGCACCGAAAACACCAAGAAACAAAGGTTGCGGCGTGTCTTGACTGAGCCAAACAAGCATGCATGTGGCCAAAAGGTGTGCCTAACCGAGTCCAACCCGCAAGAAGACAAACCCAAGTATACAGTACGCTACGCAGCAGGTGTGCTAATTAGCCCCAGCCCCCCCCCCCCTACGCGCCCCATGTCAACACATTCGAGCGCAGTGCGAAAACACCAGGCGCCCCGCAGCGACAATGGCAACTACTTGGACGATCTTGGATGTACTTGATTTGCGAAGTAATTAGGAGTGTGAGTGTTCTTCAAAGTTGACGTTTGGATTTGTGGGAGGTGCGGGCACTCAAGTCATTTTAAAGTCCAGGCCGTTGAACTTGCACAGAAGATCAAGCGGCAGGAGATCAAGAGCTCCTGTGGCTGCAGAGAGGTTTCTGAAGAGTTTTTGTGGGTTTGTGTTTATATGATATGAATGGAACCGGTACAGTAACCCTTTTGTCAACACCGTGTTTAAGAATGTTTAAGACGTGTTTGGAAAAATTTGGAAACAGGTTCATTCTTGAGCTCAAGACGTGTTTGTTCCCCTTCTGATAGGTTTTTGTTTAGCGCTTGAAATGAAGCAATATCCCGAATCCCGTCCCGTTAGCTCATGGGAGTGAAGGAGCTGCATTGGTTCAAGTCGAAGCAGGAATTGGTTCGCGCCAGGTCGGTTTGAAATGCCATGGCGGACAACTTTACTGCAAGGTTGCAGAGGTGAGCTGACTTTAAAAGAAAGCACACCTCACCCGTGGTCACCCTTCTTTTGGTGGCTGAAGAGTGGGCTTGAAACCTTTTCTTGGCAAGTGCTTGTGGACGATTACATACCGGTCTTTTGTAGATGATTATATATGATATGTTTGAAGTGCAGATCTGACTTCGGATTTGTCAAAGAAACAACCAAGCAAAGAGACCAACAAAGGAACAACCAAAGGCAGCCACTTTATATATATATATATGATTAGAGGAAAGAAACACGCACACACACACAAATTCGAGATATGAGTACGGAGTACGTACGAAGGTCGCCCAATGCCTAGCAGAAGCCTAAGTGAAAAACAGTCTGAGTCAAAACTCAAGTTTGAGCGATCCAATCCAATGGTTCGAAAATCCAAGGCTCAATGCATCACTGCGGAAAGCAAACCGATGCGACTGCTGGCTTGAGCTACAACAACCGAGGAAATTGAGCAGTAGCATCCAAGCACGTACGTCATCAGGCGTCCGGCATCCCTGATAATATCCTAGGAGCGTTTGAGGAGCTTCGTTGCATGGAGCCTCATACGTCCTCTCCAGCCCCCTGCTGAGCAAAAAAACACATTACATAAACACCCAAAGGCTCGGAGCTGATCGCCCGAAGCCCTGAAGCCACCGAAGTGAAGAAATATTGCGCGAGTAAAACGAGTATGTAATGCGGTCTGGCCATCTTAACAACACCAAAGCTCCAAAAGGCCATCAAAGTTCTAGTTCCACAAGCAATCGATCTAAAGCTCCAAGAAAGTGCATGACTGCCGTGAGTGAACCGCTGCAATGGCAAAGGCCAAAGATTGTTCTAGTTAGGAACGGGGCCCAGAAGGAAGTAAGTGGTGAACACTGCAGGTACGCCTGGCTGATCAGGCCAGATATCAGCACGGAGCTTGACCATCTTTGTTGGATTACCAGTCAAGTCCGTGGATGACCCCCCCTGCATTGCAGAAACATCAGAAAACAGCAAAGGGTGATCTCTGAATCCAAGGTGGTCACACACACACACCCATCCTCCAGCAAACGTGAACATGCCAATGTCTGCCTTGGCGAAGGAAGCATCGTCATTTTTCAGGGACCACTGTCTTTATATATATATATATATGTAAATAGTGGGCATTTTCCACCACTCAGTCATGTTTCGTGGAGAATATCGTGGTTCTCTGGTTGGAAGAGAGCTTGTGCTGGGATATCTTCCAATCTCCCTCTGTTGCCTGCAGGATCTTCCACTTGGCCTGGCCTTCCATCCTCTCGGAGCTCTCCACACCTCTCTTGGGCCTCGTGGACACCGTGGTCGTCGGCCACTTCGCAGATGCCGAGGATCTGGCGGCGCTGGCGCTGGCGATCGCTGCCTACAACCCGCTGATCGCGGCTTGGTTCAGGACCATGTGAATCAGGTTTGGTACGAGTCCTGAAGAATGGGCTGCAGAAGAGCGAGAGATTTTGGGTGGTCCAGTGGTTGATTGATCAAGGAGATGCGCAGTAGAGTTTACAAATAGTCCACAATGCTCAGACTCGTCGAGGGGACGAACCATTCAGCTTGGAGACGTAGCTCTCACCGAATCGAAAGAGTTTAAAGAGTTCACCAATTCAAATCCAGGTGTTACCAAACCAGTGCTCCAAGTGGTCCCCTGAAGGAGTTTTTACCGAGGACATTGATCTATATCAGTTCATGGACATATTCATAGCTAGGGCGTATCGAGAAATTGATGTCCACGACCCTGTCACTATTCCACACAAGTGGTCTTGGCAGTACATGACATTTTTCACAACGATCTCTCGTATTTGGGGTGGCGGCGTATAGGGGAGGTCTTGTTAAATCCAGTTTAAACGTTTAAACAGTCCCGTGACCAAGGACCTACCAATCCAAGCACCAAGGCTTTCATTCTTTTCTTGATGCCATGTTCTTGATGAGAACAAGTTGGCCCAGAGTATACCTCATATAATTACATTCTACATATACATATATAAGACACGTATACATACATTTCTTTTCGATCAATGTATTATATTGTAAGGGCTTCGTTCTGGCGCTGCCGACCCCCTTTTTTTTAGGAAGGACCTGCAGTGAAAGCTTAATTTAATGTAGAAACAAGGAGCAAGAACGCTAGTAACGTAGAAGCGAGCCGCGACGAGCGAGAATGCCTAACGTTGCCTGGCACGTCGCCTTCGGGAGCTTATTTGGGAGAGGTTGAAGCAGTCGCGCGCTTGGTCAGCATGGGCTCCAGGACTTGTCTTCATGATCAAGGAGGCGATCAAGAACTACTTGGTGAGACACACCAGTGACTTGGCGGAGGATGAACCAGTTGCTGAGGATGGATCCATCAAGAAGCTTGAGATCGATGGATGGAAGGACCACATTAGAAACCAACATCTTCCATACCGTCGGGACTGCCGCAGATGCTTGGAGCTTATGGGAGTCGACTCTCCGCGCAGACGACTGCGGGGAGATCAAGCATCCTACTGCCTCTCATATGACGTGGTTGGTCCGATGCCGATTGGAGAAGACTGGGCTTGGTGTCAAGTCAAAGTACATGATGGTGGCCACCGTGGCGATTCCAAAGTTGTCGAGGGAAATCCAACTTGATGATGATTGTGATCCGACAGATGTCGATGAGCCCGCCGGAAGACCCTGTCCCTGAAGAAACGGTGGCAGAGATGAATCGGAAGTGGCTGGACCACATCAAGGTGCTGGCTGAGCCGCGTGGAGTGCAGAACCTCACCGTTGTGGAGCCTTTGGAGAGTCGCTCTCAGCAGGGCATCGCCAAAACGGCATCTCGTATTGTCCACCGCTATAAGGCTATGGGGGTCGTGATCCACGGTGTGCACACTGATCGCGAAAGCGCCTTTGCCTCGAGAACCTTTCAAGCCTTCTGCCGTCAGGTCGGGCCAGTTGAACCATGAGAGCGAGGACCGCTCCATATGCTTTGGCTCAAGAAAACACCATTTTGCGGTGGTGTTCAACCCTTGCTCTTTGTTCCATTCATAACCACAGAAACAAATCTGCCTAGCTGCACTGTTGTCGCAATATACCTTGCAAACAATCTCATCATCTGGCAACAGGAATCTGATATACAATGTATCAATCGCGCAAGATGTCAATGCATACCATTCGCCCTCAGTGCTAGATAAACTGATCACCTTCTGTGTACGTGAACTGGTGTACAACTTGTTCCCATTGACAAAAATGGCTAGCGCCTGATGTACTCTTGCAACCCATTGTACCCTGCCAGTCACTGTCCGAGAAACTCTCAAGCAACGTATAGCCTCGTTCTGTTTCTCCAGGATCGTCTGCAATGTCATCACCATCAAGGTCGATGTTCAATTTGTGGAACACTCCACCCAGGATAGATCTGAACTTTCCTGCAAAATATTCACCCAATGGCTCAGACTCATCTACCTTCGAGAATTCTGTACCAGGAACTCTTGATGTACGAATGTCGCCACTCAACTCTGTATATGCCTTGTAGCAAATCTCTGCATGTCTCTTCTCGTTCACAATAGTGATTGACTTGTACCGTTGTTCAATAATGTGTAAACGCTTCAAGAACTCAACAGTACCACCTGTTTCATAATCTGCAAACTGAAATGATACACTGTACTTCTTACGCAACTGTACTTCTGGCGCAACGTAGGAATCACTTCATCTGTCAACGCTGATTGTCTGCCCCATAACAAAATGTCATCAACGTGAATCAACATACATCCCTTGCTCTCAGGTAGCAGAAACAATGATGGTTGCTCCAAGCTCACCTCAGCTTTCAACATGCTTTGCAAATCACCAGCAACGTACTCGTACCATAGTCTTGCTGCATCTCTCTGTACGGGCAAACATTTGTTGATGATGTATCCCAAACGTTTTCCACCAACTGACAATGGATGGGCCAAAGCAGTGCAGATAGCCCTGTCGCGTATAGCTATGAGTGCAGGGCTGGATACACCTATGACAGATGAGAACATTGCAAGGATTGAGGCGGAGAGGAGCACCAATACAGATCCACCGAGAGCAGAGCCGGAGAATGAGGATTGCTACATGGAAGGAGTGAACAGAGAAGTTCGACAGAGGGTTAGATATGCAAGAGAAGTGAGACAGAATGAGGTGACAGAGCCGGAGACGGGGAGCGCGCCTATGCATGAGAGGGCAGCTCAGAGAAAGGAGAGAGAGAGGAATGAGTGAGCATTGCAGTACAACATTGAGCCATGCAATGGTTGCAGTGTGGTCTATGAACATTGCAGCAGTACAGTGGATGTGGTGTCATCCTGAAATCTTGCAGATGTTGAGGCGATTTGACATTGCGCAAAGCAACATTGGGTGGATTGAGAAAAGTCTCCACGAGTTGCAAAGCCGGAATCCATTCGAGTTGGCAAAATCTTGATTGGAGTGGTGGTACAATACAATACAGAATGCAACTACAAAGCTTCAAGAAAGAAACCTTGACAGACTTGGTACAGTCTTGCGAAGTTGAGGTTTGGTGCAAAGTCATCAGTTGAACTTTTCACCAAAGGCGGGGTGACTAGCTTGTCTCCTGCGGCGTGTAGCATTGCAAAGGCACAAATCGAGAAGTGTACCGCAGGCCATTGAGTGGTCCAAAACAAAGAGTGATTTTTTGTTGTTGTCGTTGTCGTGGTCGTGGTCGTTGTCGTTGTCGTCGTCGTCGTCGTCGTCGTCGTTGTGGTTGTTGTTGTTGTTGTTGTTGTCTTTGTTCTTGTGTTTGTTTTTGCTGCTGTTGTTGTTGTTGCTGCTGTTGTTGTTGTTGTCGTCTTTGTTGTTGTCTTTGTTGTTATTGTGTTTGTTGTTGTTGTTGCTGCTGCTGTTGTTGTTGTTGTTGTTGTCTTTGTTGTTGTTGTTGTTGTCGTTGTCTTTGTTGTCTTTGTGTTTGTTGCTGTTGCTGTTGTTGTTGCTGCTGTTGTTGTTGTTGTTGTTGTTGTTGTTGTTGTCGTGTTTGTTGTTGTCTTTGTCGTCTTTGTTGTTGTCTTTGTTGTCTTTGTTGTAGTTGTAGTAGTAGTAGTAGTAGTAGTAGTAGCAGCAGTAGTAGTAGTAGTAGTAGTAGCAGTGTTGTTGTTAAAGAAAACAAAACAATCAGTTACAAAAAAGAAGAGCGGGATACACAGAACGATGCGCAAGTAGCTTTTTGTCAAAAGCCCAAGAACCTTCAACTGGTGTTTTTTTGGGTTTCAGTTCGAGGACTGACATTTCTTGTGGTATTGTTCAGCTATTTGCATCTTGAAATGTTCAAATAACAAAATGAAACTCCTGGTGATGCTCGAATGATATTTTCCATTGTTGGGGGAATTGTTTGGCTGGATGAGTTCTTCATTGAGCATGGTGCTTTGACTTTGGTTTTTCTATGGTTTATCAGTGAGGTTTAGTTGGTTGAAGTATTGTCAGTGTTCATAGTCCATGTGAGTCTTTGAGATGACTTTTGGAAAGATATGTATATATATATATGTATATATATATTTACATGGAGCACATTTGTTGTTGTTCAGCCTTTATTTTCTCGCTTATATAACACTTGACTGATAATTTTCTATGCCAATTTGCAGGGATTTACAGAGCGTGTCAAGGTTTCCAAATAAATCGAACAGGGCGAACACCTCTCAAGAATCGTCTTTTATGGGGCTAACTGGTCGCGTGTGTGTAGTATGCTACAACAAAGATGTCACATTATTTGGCATCGATAGTACTGTATCCCCTAAAACCATTTTTTGTTTCGGAACGCATCGTTGATCTAAAGTGACCGTGCAACCTTTTCTTTCTGGTGACTCCCCAGTTTTGTGTTGTTCAGGTGAAGAAGATTTTGCCCTTCGAGGGCACCTTCAGTGTTCCGGGCGATGATGCGACTGACGTGGCAGTGTCGCCGACAATTGCGCCAGGATCCTCAGGTGTGGCTCTGGCAATGCACGCTGGATTCTGCAGGTTGCAGAGTCTGGTCATCAGAGCAGCTTACCGCGGCAGGGCTAGCGTTCATGTTGGGCTGGCTCACTGGTGGCACAGTTGGAGGGTGGGCTTGCTGGGGCGAAGCTTGTGTTTGCAGCAGCTTCGTTGCCTAAGCTGATGGTTTGTGGGAGAAATATCTTCCAAGTAGTTTTGCTTTATTGGGTGTGTCACAGGATAGACTGCCAACTAACAGCCTGCACTACTACAAGGCCCAGTTACAGCAAGACGAGCGTCAGAGGATGATCCTTTCCCAAGGAGGTCCCCGTGATCTTCACCTGGTGTTCTTTGGACTATCATGGCCAAACGAATCCAGTAACACACACAGAAATCGCTCCACCTTAAGGCCTGAGGTGGAGGTTTTTTGGTGTGTTCCCCTCATCAGCGCTGCTTTGAGGCAATCCTTCGCCACGGTTTTCCACCATCTAATTCGAAACCAAAAATCATCAAAAAAACGGGGGGGGGGGGTGCAGCCAGCCAAAATGCCTAACGTTGCCTGGCACGTCGCCTTCGGGAGTCCATAAAACTAGTTGTAGCCTTGTGTTGTGTTTTTGGGCTTGTTCTAGGTTCTAAAATATTTGAAAAATAGCAATAAAAAAGCAAAAACAACCCAAAGCAAAAATGCAAAGAAGACACGCACTGCCTAACAAAATGCAAAAAA